AACTGACTGATCATCACGAGACTAAAGATTATCAAACTAGGAATGCAAAGATTCAAAGATTGTTGCAGCTTGTGTTGCTATTACACGTGCGGAACGAGGATGGGGCAAAATGGCTTCAGTAAGCTTATCACTGCGTGAATCTCAAACCGAAATTGATCGGGGGCATGCCGATTACTTTCAAATGCTGCCATTCGAAACGCCAAAAACAGAAGTGTCTAGCCTGGCAATTTAAATACACAGAGCCCTTGTATACCAATAACACTTGCATATACTCTCTGTATTCATCTAGTGAACAGTGGCACTCAATAGCCTAAACATTGGCCGAAAATGGCAGGGCATATATTAGAATCGCTAACAAGTCGCGGAGCTGTTCGCTGTGTCGAAGTCAGTGCGTGGTTGTACAGCTAACATGTATATGCCTGTACCATGTGTTCGGTATGTTGCTTGGTGGTCGTGTTGCGTATGTATGATGTATGTTCTGGTGTATGAATGTGCAACCTCGGAAGCCTCCTAATAAAAAAACAAAAACATTTTTTTTGCGCCATCTAGCGGTTACTGCTACACTTTCTAGGTGGCGCAAGCTGCCGCCTGATTGAAGAAGCTGAGCGTTGAGCTGTTATGTATCAATCGATTTTCAGACAGCTGGCTTATTGGCCTCCAACGTTATCAGAACAACTCATTTGGGAAACTGCCATAGGAGCCTGCTTTGAAAAAATGGCTCCGATCTTACTCGAGAACCGAGCTGCAGGACGCGATCGCAACGCCGCCATTTCTCCCGCAGCTCGGGGAGCCGCACGTGTGCACGTATCTGCAGGTCGAGTCGCGCAACGGTTGGTAGTGCCATCTCGCAGTGCCATGTCGCAACAGCTATATAAAGCCATGGCCTCCGAGATCCCGAAGCGCACGAACGGCTTCGGGATCTCGGGAGCCACGATAAAGCAACTTTCATGTTTTGACACGCCGCTGAAGGGCGGCGCTGTAATCGTATCTAGTTGGGTCTCGGTGGAAACTCGTGCTTACAGGCACGAGTTTCCAAACTGAGTGTTTTAGTAGCGCTGGTGGCCTCCCTCCCCTTCTACCTCTCAGCTCGGTAACAATCGTGATAATCGTGCCACGCAGCTACCTAAATGCGCGTTCTGTGTCCAAGAGCTGCCAAGTGCCGGCAAACACGCGCATGAATAACCAAGTCGGCAAAAAATATGCACGATGCGATGAAAAAAAAATGAAAAAAAGCGGTCGCGTAATGAGAGTTGAACGCCTCTGACCGGTGTCGATGAAGGTGCCCAGCAAATCGTCGCGGCTTACGGCAAGCATACGATGTGTCCAATAAGTCAGCACGTCTATTTCTCGCGTAACGATTTCTTTCGGAAACGATCTCCGGCTGCAGTAAAAAAAAAAAAGAGACAAAGAAAAAAAAGTCAATTCATCAGACGTCGCGCGCAATCGCGGCGATTCCGGCGCACACCCTGTCGTCTTTACTGTATATATCTATATACATATATAGTGCGGTACCGGCGTCTCGAGACGGGTGATTAACGTGTCTGATGGCGCGTGGAAGACGCCGAATAAATATTAAATAGGCCTATCCGCGCCCTTTTCTCTGCGTCCGCCGAAAGGCCGTGCTGTTCGCTATGCGTTACCAAAAAACTGCTTGACTACATCCGGGGTCGTCATTTTTATCCTAGGGTTCGTTACATCTGAGGCAACTTCTGACCACCCCAAAGGTGGTCAAAAGACTATGACTACCCCAAAGGAAGCCTATGACTACTCATTTTTTTCTCTCTTCTTTAGTGCACAAACGAACTTAGGCTTCCGAGAAGCAGACACACAAAGTTCAAACGGCATAATTTTCACGACGTCAACCCAAGTTTCTTCAAACGAAAAACATACGCGAGACTCGGTAGCGCAGTAGCTGTCACTCGACCCCGAGTTCCACTCCCCAGCGAAGGGACCAGTCAAATTCCGCGAGGCGAGATCGAAAATTGCCAATATGCCGCCGCCGCCGAAAAAAAAAAAAAAAGGTTAAGGGTTTGAAGAACGATGAACCATGGCAGGGGACAACAGGCGGAAGGGGGTCGGTCGCACATTGCAACGACCCACAGGTAGAGTTAGCAGCTCGCTTCGCTCGCCTATTTTTTTTAATTATCCGCCGCATTCCATCCGCGCCCGCCTTCTGGCAGCTGGCTCGTCCGATAGGGGGGGAGAGCTGGGTTGGGGCTGGGGAGCGAGCCGAGTCGGGTTCCGTCGCCTGCTCCGGGCCTTTTCCCCGCATGAGGGAGCCTCCTACAGGAAAAACCACCCTCCCCCGGGTTCTAAGTCCCTTAAGTCCCCCATCGCCCCCCCAGCCAAAGTGAAGCCCCGCGTCCCCGCTCGGATTTAGGGGACTCCACCCCGAGGGGCTCAAGCTAGGAGCCAAATGGAAGAAGCTGCGATGCCCAACTTTTGTTTCGCTTCCTCCTCCCGCGCAGCGGTTTGCTTTCGGTCTTCCGACAGCCGTCACAGAGGGAAGGAAACAAACAGCGGGGAATGTATCGCCAAAGGGGATGAGGAACAACTCTCCTCGCTCCGCGCCGAGTGTGAGCTCTCAATTTCCCGACAAAAGGAAGAGCATCGAACGACGGAAAAGAAACGCCCTCCCTTTCTTCCTACAGGAACAGAGAGAGCGGATTTTGCGGAAGACTAAAAGGTGAAATATGTTTCTAGGCGGCCAAAAAGCGCCCGACTAAGCTTCGAGCGTCCCTTCTCGTACCGTCGTCGAGTGTTTCTGTATTTGAGGGACGCTGGTCGAAACCCTGGAAACGGGATAAGGCGGCAAGAGGGGATCAAGAGGGGCCCGGATCCGAATAACAAGAGCGGAGAAGAGGACGGCGAACGTCGTCAGGCCTGGAGCGGTAGCGCTTGTGGTCAAAGTATTCCACCGAATGCCCAAAGATGGCGCGTGGCAGGCTCGCCAGAGTGTCCACTGAGAGGAAATGTCCTCCCTACCTAAGGGGTCAAAATCTTCGACGAGTCAAAAAAAGGTTTATCGAGTCGTAATGCCCATCCCGGTTACAACGTCCAACGAGACGAAATGCACGTCGAGACGAAATGTCCAGTATCGGGCATTTTGACCCGAAGGACATTCTGTCTGGTTGGACATTCTGACGTCCAGTCAACCACTCAAACGGGCACGCCGTGATCTCGCCCTGTAGCTCTGCGATACGTGTCACGCAACGATAATTCTAACGAAGTTTCGGAAACTTCCTCGTGCGGTTTGGTAATAGCTCAAATCATTCTGGAATATATATAGGTTTCTACCGCGTTTCCTGGTAGACGGTAACTGTGGAAGCCCCAACCCTGAGTCTAAGTTTCTATTCGAGCCAGACAAATCAAATAGAAGTGACACTAAACCAGAGCGATGGCTAGACGCGACACGCAAAGGCAAATCTTTAAGCGCACTGCAGCTAGAATGTTATTGCACCATCAGGTATACCTTGCTCACAACCAGGAAAAAATACAGCTTTTTAATTTTTTCCTCGAGTTTTGGACTCTCTGAAATGAACGCGAACACCATAGCGATTGAGTGCTCCGTTCGCGTCCCCTTCCGAGTGTGCAAAACACTCGAGGGGGTCCGTGTTTCACGCTGTCTCTACCATTTAAAACTGGCAACAATAAACCGACAGGCTCGAACGGACACACGCAATCTAAATAACATCACCTAGACAAACTCCTAAAAATCACGAACTTATGTTTGAACGACGTCACCCTAGGACCATGCACTCGCGAATCGACGGGGGCTTTCAAGACTACACAAGTAGCAGGGGGCTGGTTACGATATAGGACGGCAATGGCATGTACGCCTCTCGCACTGCCCTGCTTTCCCCTCTCGGCCAGTCGTCCTCGTTGTCGGAGTGAACCACTGCAGGCGCTCTCGAGGAGAACCGCCACACTTGAGGAGGCAACCCCGCCATTGGGCGGGCGCACAGCGAGCCGCCTTCCTCGCGTTCCGGCAGCGACGCGAAAGGGCAACTTCTACGAGGTTCTTGTCAGGAGCCGAGACAAGACCGGCTCCCCCCGAACCGCGTGCCTCGGCCTCGAAGTCCGCTCGATTCGATCAGGCACAAAGCTCCGCCCCAGGGCGCCCAAAACGAAACCAGGGAACAAGCTTCCCTCCCTTCGCCCCGGGGAAGAGACAGCGCCGGGTCGTGATGGTGCTCGGAGGGATGATGTCTCCGATCCCTTCGTGCGTCGCTGTCTCGCCGCCCTTCATTCGCCTTTGTGCCCTCCGCATCTTGACCTCTTCCGGACCCCCTCTCCCCTTGGTCCACCCTCCTCCAAGTAAGGCCGACCCTCAACGGGGACAACGAGCCTCGGACCGACACACTCTCTCCCTCGCGTACCGCTTATAGAACCCGCTTCTACACGTTCGTTATCCGGTGATTGACGCACACTGCTCGCGTATTACACAATAAAACGCATACAAAAAGAATGCGTCCACGATGCTGTCCTCGCACGAAAACCACATGAAACGAACGCTGCTTGCTGACACGAGAAATGCGCCTCTTGAGTTGCTTCCAAGTTCCAACCCACTTCAGGATTTTGGATTGCGGGAGCAGAGTTCAGTGTTTGTCGCTCTGGTGAAAAATAACAATACGAAACAACGGTGCGTGTACGCGTTCGTAAACGGGGGGAGCGTCGTCGTCGGTCGCATTCGAGAACCGAGTTCCCGCACTGGTTTATATTCTAGTAAGGGTCATCGGCCTTTAATCTAATGTTTCTCCGCATGGAGACTGTGCTTGCAGCTGAGCGACAGTCACCAGCGAGTTACTGACGGTCTGCGGGCCTCGCACAATACAATGGAGCCAGCGTTTCTCCTGACTGCCGCGCGGACGTGCACGCATGCCTGGACTGTGCGAAGAATGCCACCAGTGGAGGAGACCAGTGGTTCAAATGGATGAGACCAGTGTTGAAGACCGGTGGTTGAGAGACCGGTGCAACGGGCGAAAGCCAACCAGACTCACCAGTGCCCTGTTTCTTGGCCGGAGCCGGAAGTTTCTCGGGCGGTTGTACGCTGTCCGGAGTGTCAGAACGGCTGCTGTAAAGAGAGAACATTCAAATGAGCTGAAAATACGAGTAACACGGCTGCCACTCGAGTGGCATTCACTCGTGGCTGTTAGTTTTCTTTTTCTGATGTATTGTAAGAACGATCACATGTGATGCAAGTAGGCAATAAGCGAAGGGCACATTTGAATTGTATCAGCATTGGAGGTGCAGGTTCACTGCCTCATCGACGATCGCAGAATCTGCTTGGCGCTGCAGCAAAGTTTTTTTGTTTTTTTTTCCTTTTTCAATTTGTAGTAGCGCAAATGTCTTTAGGCATTCCACAAAAAAGAAAAAAAAGGGGGGGGGGGGGGTACTTTATAGACGCTTTGCACACGTGCCAGATTACAGCGGCCATTGCTGCCCTTCTCTTGTCTTAGCCAGATGCCGAGCCATTGAAGCGAGCGTTGACGAGCCTCCACATAGGCCAATGCTGGGGAGGAGGACGCGTTAGAATATAAAATGCCAATGACCTGCCCCGCTAGGGTAATGACGAAGTGAAGTAAACGCAATAAGAGGAAACAACAAGAGAAGATCAGTTATGGCGGCGCCCATGGACACCTGCTGCAAAGAGTCTATAGTTTGATAATGATCGCAAGAACTGAAAGTAATACGCATGTATAAAAAAAATTTAATAACACCATACTAACCGATATAATAACTTGAACACATAATAATACGCATATTTTATTATTATAACTATTATTATTATTACAACACCTACACGCCTTAAAAATGAAGCCTGGCTACGTTCTAGGCAGGAAGGGTGTATTTTCATCCGTGAACATCTCTACGGAAATTGGGGCGTAGCGAAATATCCGCGCATCTGCTCCAGCCCGGATAGCTGGTCGGCGGTTTTCGCGTGGTCGTGTAATGGCGTAATGTTGGGAAGGCACTGCACAGACAGCACACAGAGGAATTCCGCGTGCTGGAAAAAAGGAAAAGGACGCGAGGTGGCCCTGATCCGAAAGCTCTCCCTTCCCTCACTACTATATACCTTCGGTAATATCGCCTCCTGTATCGGTGGAGGTACAAGCAAACCTCCGCCGTCCCAAACCTTCATGCCCAACGCCGTCAGGTGAAACGTGATTCACAACCCATGGCACAACGCCAAAGCAAACCTAACCTTTTTTTTTTTTTTTTCATTTGAGGTTTTCGATGGTAAAAATTAATTATACACCCTTACACTAAACTTGATGACTATACGCCAAATAGTTAAGTTAACATAACATATTTTCAACACGTTGTGAGGCAGTAACAAAGTAAAGGCGTTCAAAGTTTGAATCCATTTTTCTCAGCTCCACTTTTTGCTGCAAATTTCATACGCACCCCAGTGATGCAGGCGTGACGAGATGTCCCTACAGCGTGCAATTCGCGTAACGAGTATCGAGAAAACGATCGGATCGACGAAACGTGTGTCCATGAAAAGTTGTCCACGAAACGTAATTCCACGAAACGAATTTCGACAAAATGGTAGGGACCTATATATCCACCAGTTCAAACGATCGTTTAATCCTTGGCCGCTCCCGATAAATTTGGCCAGCACGAACGTACACGAAGGAAAGTTGCTCAAATCAGGCCATAATTTTTTATTTATTTACTAGATGCAGCCGTTTATTCGAGAGCGTGAGAGAAATAAATGGTAGATATAGCGTTGATATATGATATAATATGATAAGATATGATACATTTATTTTAGCTCAGGAGAGCCGTGGCGCCACAGAAAGGCAAATTGCCCATACCTTCGTAGCCTGCGGCGCCGCTTCTAAGGACGATGAAATGGTATAGTACAAATGAACCGTGTGAATGATGACGATGATGATGGGATGATAAAGAGGGTGATGAAGAGCATCACGCCTAGCAGCCGTCTTCGCGACGGTGGTCTTCGCGGGTCTGCCATGGGCTGCTGACTTCTAGCAGGCTAGGCTCGAGCGCTTGCCCAGCATGCAGACGATCCGGTCAAATTTCCCGTGACACAGGGTGTCTAGCAGCCCCGTGTTAGGGCTCCGGTGGTTTACGCCGGTGTTGTCCGGGCGGCGGTTTTCGCAAAAGCGGGCCTTGAAGCTTGCCGTCGAGCTTGTAACCGAGCAGCTTGAGCATGCACTCTGACGATCGAAGACATAATGGGTGCCACTGGTCCGGTTGGCTCTTTGAAGATGGAAAAAAACACGTGTTACGCCCAGCTGGCTTCCTCTTCTTCGTTGAGAACGTGGAGCTGTGGAAGCAGATAGCAAAGCCCCGTCACTGGGCCCACAGTATTGGAGACTATGAGCCCCTGCACCAGGCACAACGGCCGCATCGATATACGAACGTACGAAGCACTCGGTCGTCTCCTCTGCTGGGCAAGCCCGGAGAGGATGGACGGAGGGAAGCGGGTTCGCGCGGTCGTGAGTCAGCCCGCTGGGACAACTCGTCACGCGCTCGCCGCCGCGCTCACAGACCTGCCCAGCCCGACGAAGGTATATGCGCTCAGCAGACGCTCACGCGGAGCACATACGCTTCGAAGCCCATGTCGGCCGACGCACTGTGCCCCAAGTCTCATTTCTTTTCATTTCTTTTCGACTCTGAAGACCGAAGGCCCCATACCAGGTGGCCTGCAGACACACCAAGTTAAGAAAAACAAAACAATTGCAGCGTCGTCAATACGTGATTTACCTCTGAGTAAAAATGTGAAGACGACCGTGCACCGTGTATTTAACTGCCAAACAGATATATATACACGGTCCAAGATGCGCCACACACAAAAACAGAAGAAGAAAACAATGCTAAGATAGAGAAGAAGAAAACAACGACAGATTGCTACCTTTGGGCCCACATACAGTCGTCACCCGTGATCAAGGAGCCGAGCCGGCTTCAAAACGTCGGGCACATTGAAGATATTGGTTATAGTCTACAAAGTACTCTGTCTTATTCATTAAACTTCAAAGGAGGGAAGCTCAAATAAGCCTAACACTGATCTAAAAAGGCGTTCCGGCGGCTCTTCAAATAGCGGGCGGTCTTTCGAATCGAGAAAACAATATTGTATAGGTATAGGTGAAGCAGCCGCGAAAATGCCCAAATTTCCGGCAGGGGACGAGTTTAATACGGGCAGACTCGGATCACATCGACACGAAAGCAAACGTTGCTGTATACCTTTCCGTGCGGACGCTCACGCTGGCGTTGTATACGAGCGCCACGCCTGCCGCAGCCGGAGCGAGCAAGCAGCAGATTCAACACGCGGGTCGAGATCTCGGGCCACGGTGAATAGACCGCGACCTCACCAAGCGTTTGACGCATGCGTGATGCTACCATAACTTTAGTTCAATGGAAGCAGGCGACACTACACGAGACGGCTTAAGTGCCGTCTCGTGCCCTGCACGCGCAGAGCTCCAGCGAGGTTGTCGCGCGCGCAGAACGAGTTCCCTCGATGTACTGCGGCAGCGGTGCCGTAGCCAAGCTGGCGAGTGACATCGGTCTAGTCTTCTTTTTCTTAGGTCACGCCACGGAAGGGTCGTAAAATCGCTGAAACCTCCTGATGCTCGAGCAATTTTGCTTCTCCTGTTTCTATCAATGTTCAAATAATCAAGAATGATTTTTTTTTTTTAGACGAATGCGTTAGGTAATATAGACGTTTCCACTGTTTACGAAAATCACAGTCCCCACGTGCTAAATCACAGTCCAGCCAGCGCTCGCTCGCAATTGCGGCCAGCCAGAAAGTGCGCGCACAAACATAAAGCCCCTCGATGTGTTTGCGCTCGTCTTGCAAGTAGCGTCAAATGCGCGAGTGCACGAGGCCCATGTCTCGAGCGGCCCTTGGAAGCAAATGGCGGCGCAGCACTGAAATGAGCGGACCTTGGAAGCGAATGGCGGCGGAGCACCCGGTCATGGCACGTGTCTCGAGCGCTTCCACAACAATGGTTGGCGGTACTTGTAAAAAAACGCTTTTATCAAGGGGCTTTACACAAACACAGCAATGAACGCCCCCTCATACGCTTATATGGAAATGTGCATATATACATCGCGCAGGTGTTCCGACGGCTCGACCCAATACCACCTAGAACACAAGGCCTGCGCGTTTCCTCCTCTAAACGTCATCACCAGTAGATCCCCTCAGCGCCCCCTAGCTAGCCCGGATGAGCGACATCGTCTGCTGCATCGTCTGCTCCATCGCCTGCTTCGGTGGTTTGTGTAACAGATAATGAAACAGATGCTCACGCCGAGTGTCTCTTGCAAATATCTAACGATGAAGTTAGACGTTCACGTGGAGCGTCAAATGCATGAGAGAAATTGCCTTACTGCTGCGCGAAGGGCTGAAAAGCCCTTCGTTGGACGCTGGACGCTGACACTGGACGCCATTTTCGAGGGCCCTGTTTATACCTCGGGCAGCTGCTTCGAAGCGTTCTACCGCAGAAAGAGCGCGCGCGCTAGAAATGCGCGTCCCAAAGCCAGGAGCGCGTGCTAGCTCGCGCTCCTGGCCGAGGGAGCGTTCGCGTGCACGTCGCAAATGCACTTGGAAGCTCGCTATCAGCTCGCGCTCAGCAGTCACGCACACAGCTGCGGCCGCAAATGAATGCGACGTAGTTGCGACGCGGCCCCTACTCTCGTCAAGCTTCGGGGTGTTTGCCGCTTGGGGCGGGTCGGGGATCTACTAACGAAACGTCATGCGCAGGCCTTGTCTTCTAGGTGGTATTGCTCGACCGCTGCCGCGCGAGGGTAACCCAACCCTCCTACCGCCTCGGTTGCCGGGGCCCGCCTATGCCTGCCCTCTGCTCCAAAGGTCGCGGTTCGGCGCAGAGGTGGCGACCAGCCTAGCACAGGGGACTGAGGAGCGTCAAGTGCTCGGTGGATGTTTGGGTTAGCGCCCAGGCAGGCACGTAACCAGGATTTTGTTTCGGGGGGTGCCCGCCCATGACAAAATGCTGGGGGGAAGAGGAGGCCCCAGCAAAATAAAAAATTTCGGGGGGGTGGGGGGGGGGCGGGCGTGTC